TTTTTTTTTTTTTTTTTTTTTTTTTTTTTGGTACCTTGTGCTTGCAAGGCAGTATTTGAATTTTTTAAAGAGTTCTTAAAAAAAAACCAGATTGGAGATAGCAGGGCATGGTGACAGATGCCTGTAAGCCTAGCTACTGAGAAGGCTGAAGTAGTAGAATCTGGAGTTCAAGGCCACACTGGGCAATTTAGCAACCCCCGCCCCATCTCAAAAAGGCTGGAGATTTGGTGGGGGTCTAGCCAGACGTGGTACAGGCCTGTCATCCAGCACTATGGGAGGCTGAGGCAGGAGGATCACAAGTTCAAGCCCAGCCTAGACAATTTAGTAATGTAGTGACGCCCTGTCAGAGAGAGACATAGAAACAGACAGACACTGGGAGTGTAGCTCAGTGCAAGGTTCAATCCCCAGCACTGAAAAGAAAAAAAAGTGGCTTCTGCGACCCAGTCACACCCCCTTGACCCTTCTGACCTCCTCCTGAATTCCTGGCCAGCCTCTCCTGGATTACTCCAAATCCTGTCATCACTTCTTTGTTGTGACCTCTTCATGCCTTCATGGTGACATGTGAGACCACATATATTGGTCCTGCATCTTGGGATCCTCCTTGTAACAATAAAGTCAAAACTTTGGAGGGCGGAACGGAATGAGGCCTCAGTTTTTCCAGCCCTCAGATCTGGCCTGGGCTGCTCCAGGACCGGCCTTTGAGATGATGCTGGCTTCAGCCTTGGCCTCTTCAAGGTCTGAGCCCCACACAGAAGAAAGTACACAATCCTGCTGGGCAAACCGCATAGCGAGGGCTGTGGCCACACGGAGATGAACCTGGACCCAGGGGAGGCCAGTCCTACGAGGCTTTACACTCTGATCAAAAAAATGGCCCAGCTGAGAGCCTGCCCAAATTCCCGACCCACAGTCACAGTTTTAGGCAAAATGGTGATATTGTCATCCAGTGTCTCGTTTCTAGTGGCTCTCCAACTAAACACTCCGGATAGCTTGACTCTCCTTCTGGAGTTGGATTTCAGTTTCTTCTCACCCAGAACAAAGGGTTGAACGAAACAAGCAAAAAGCAGTGGCAAGGTTTATTCAGGAAAGCAAAAATGAAGCGTGGGAGAGAAACCTGCTCTGCAGAGTGAGCTTGGACTGAGTAAATCGAGTGAGAGGGAGCAAAATAAAAGTACATGCCACATCTGAGAAACAGCGTGGGCTACCATATAAAGTTACGAGAGCAAAGCCTTCGTGGCTTCGATGTGTCCTTTGATGTTGACTAAATCTCGAGGAAACCGCCAGAACTTCTACATCCGGGTCCTGAGAGGTGGTGCTGACCTCGTGCTGACCTTAGGTCCAGGCCATCCTATTGAGAACCTCCTGGAATTCCCTCCAGAAGTTCACGCAGGGCTTTGGGAGCTGTTCTGCCCATGTGTCCGGGATTTGGTAACTAACAAGACACAACCACTACCCAGCCCGTTTTTGCTGGGCCCTGATCTCCTATCTCAGTACTTCTTACACAGCAGTAGGAGGGAAAACAGCATCCTATTGAGGCGATCACTATATGTTAATCCCATTCACTATTTGTCTAATGTAATGCAAACTTTCCCCCAGACCTTTTGTTTTTACTTATTATGGTCTGGGCCTCTCTCGCTCCCTCCCTCCCTCCCTCTCTCTCTTTCTCTCTGTCACACACACACACACACACACACACACACACACACACACATTGCCCGCTGCCCACTGCCCGGCAGCACTGGGATTGAACCCAGGTTGTAGCGAGCTACATCCCCAGCCCTTTTTCTTTCTTTTGTTCTTTTGAGGCAGCGTCTTGCAATGGTACAGGCTGACCTCAAACTTAAATCCTCCTGTCTCAGTCTCCCGAGCTGGGATGACAGGCGACTGCCACCTGAGTAATGCTCAATGTTTAGCCATGCAAATATTTTTATCATTTTTGGGTAGTTATTCTCTTTCTTCTACAGACCAACTAGAAGCTGGGGGTGCTGGCATTACAGGAAGCTGTACTCAGGGCAAGTCTTTGCCGACAAAAGACAACAGAATGAGAAAGGTGCGAGGTAACAAAAAGGAACAGTGCTAGGCCCGCCGCCACCGCAAGCAGCTTGGGGCTAAAAGGAAACCTGCGGAGTTTAAAGGCCAGGCCCCGCCCTAGACACCGCCCTCTGAATTTCTAGGTGTGATTGACAGGAATGATGGACAGGACACTGTGTCGTCGCAGGGGCTCCCAATACTAGTGCTCATCCCGAAGCTTATTCTAGGCCTTTTCTTTCTTTATTTCTTTCTTTCTTTTTTTTTTTCAGCTTTAATTGAGTTTATTGGTACATTTTAGGGTAGCAGTACAGTTACATTCATTGTTGGGATCTTGTACCTCTATCTTTCTTTTTTTTTTAAGACAGGATCTCACTATGTAGTTGAGACTGACCTGGAACTCACTATGTATCCCAGGCTGGTTTTGAACTCACAGAGATCCTCCTGTCTCAGCCTCCCGAGTGCTGGGATTATAAAGGTAGGCTTCTGATCTTAATGCATGACATGTAGTGTATATTTAGGACTCCATAATGAGGTGGGAATAGGGTAGAGTTGGCTAAAGGTCAAGCTAGGAGAGGCAATGCCCATGTGCTTTCCTAGAGCTCAGTGTGATCTCTTGAGTTGAGTTTTTGTTTTCTTCTCTTGTTATAATGAAAGGTGAAATGACCCTAGAGTGCTGTTTAAATGTAAATGGATAAAGTAAGTGACTTTCTCAGCTCTATTGTTTCTAACTATACTAGTGGCAGAGCCTGTAATCTCAGTTGGGGAGGCAGTGGCAGGAGGATCACTCAGAGTTAGGGACCAACTGGGCTACATAGTGAGTTCAAGGCCAGCCTGAAGTACATAGGGAGACCATCTCAAAAACAAAACAAAACAACAACAACAAACAAATTCCCAGCCAGAACATAAAACTGAGAACAAGACAATTAAAAATAAAACAATGGAGATAAAATCTAGGTTTAAATTTGTTTTCTTTTGGTTTTTTTGAGACAAGGCCTTGCTATGTAGTTCAGACTGGCCTTGAACTCACTATGTAACCAGGCTGGCCTGAAACTCGCAACAATCCTCCTGTCTCAGCCTCCCAAGTGCTGGGATTACAGGAATGCACCACCACTACTACATCTGGCAGCTTTTTGTATTTTAAAAATAACTTTCATCTCAGTACTTTTACAAGGTTGGTACTATGGTGTTCTTGTTAAAAAGAACTTAAGCAAATTTTGATTCTGCTTTTTTCTGTAGGTGGTCGCCCCCTCAGGCAAGTCCCTTCGATTCTGAGTGTCAGTTTCCTTATTATACAGTGAGTTTTCCAATTCAATGAAATTTCACACCAAGTGGGCTCACTACTAATTCACATCTACTCATTCATTCCAGTCCCTCTATGTTTTAACAGTAAGGAGGCTTCCTCAATGTGTGTGCACGCGTGACACACACGCGCGCACACACACACACACACACACACACACACAGACACACATGCGCGGGCACAGTGGAAACCCAGCTTTGCATTTTGAAAGTTGAGCTTTTCCTAGGTTAGTCATGTGCTCTAGATACTTGTGGAAATGCTGGGCAGCTGTGGCTTGAGTCAACCTTACAATCTCCAGGGGACACTACCCAGGACCCCCCAGTTTGCTGCTGTTAAGCCACAGTGTTCGGTAGCATTATCTTAAGGCACTTTCAACTGATATTTTGAATGTACCATGGGTTTATCAGGACTATGATCTCATGTAGTTCGAAAAGAACCTATGCATTATTTCATTTAATCTTCAATCCCATGAGGAAGTTTATTTTTTAAAATATACTTATTTGGTGTCACTAGGGATTGAACCTAGGGCTTTCGCACCCTTTTTATTTTTTATTTTGAGGCCACGTCTCTCTAAGTCAGAAATTGCTCAGTCTGTACTTGAGTTTGTGATCCTCCCGTCTCAGTCTCCCAGAGTTCCGCAAAAAAAAAAGAAAAACCTCTTGGGCTCAAACCCCTCGGCACCTCCTCTTTCTCCCTCCAGGTGGCGCTATAGGATAGGCCCATGTGCCAAAGTATAATTGCCTCGGTTTGGCCTCCCCCGGAGGCTATCGAGCATAGAGAATAGGTTACGAAGCCCCTCTCGCTTCCGTGGATAGAGAGGCACTTCTCAGGAGCCGCCCAGGTCGCCTCTTTCCGCCATACATTTCCGCTTCCGGTTCTTAATTCCGGAAGTTGCCGTTTGAGGTAACGTGGTCCTTGGTGTGGTCTTTGTGAGATTTTGCCATGGCGTACCGGGGCCAGGGCCAGAAAGTGCAGAAGGTGATGGTGCAGCCCATCGTATCCTGCGCCACATGTCAGAACCAGGGATTTGGGGCCGGGAGGCTGGGGGCGAAAGCGCAGACCTGAAGGAGCGGAGTGCGGGCCTCCGTCCCATGAGCCACCGGGGCGACCGGACCGGAGAGAAAGCGCGGGCATGGAAAGGATCTATAATGGGACGTGGGCTTGGGCTGACCCTGAAGGGATCGCGGGAATGGCGGGGGGAGGTGGGGGAAGACAACTTGAAGTGGCTGCTGAGTGAGAACGGGAGTTAACGAGGAATATGTCGGCAACAAGGAGGTTCTAGGTCTAGGAGAATTAGAGTGTGGGAAGGGGAGTCCTCAGTGTGGTTGCGCTTCTCAGCCTGCCTTGTGTAGACTCCCGACTTCTCCTTCAGAAAACAGATGAGATGGGGTTGGGTCGACCCGCGGTTTTCAGTGAGGAGAGTCTGCTGTATACTCTTTTCCTTAACCCCTGTGGCGCAGAATCTCATCTTCAGATACTTGCAAAATGTACGTAAGTCGTTTAATTGCTTCGTAACCGCTACTTAAGCAAAAGTTGAATGTGTTTGGCTATTTGTATCAGCTTTACTGATTACAGTGTTTTAGAGTTTAAAAATAGATGCAGCTCCGGAGATTGGAAGGATAATTGAGGGAAAAGATTACAAGAGGTCTTCTGTAATGAACTGATGTATGTCTGTGCCAACGCCAAGCATGCAGATTGTGTCATCATTCCTTTGAAAGAACTAAAACACGCCACAGAGTTTATTGGCAGATACAACGATGGCATTTCGATTCCATCCCCGCCCGGACCAGGAATCAGACTCGGGGCCTTGCGCTTGCCAGGCAAGCGTTGGTGCCTCAGCTGCACATCCCAGGCCCACAACATTGGCCTTTGTGCTTTGGTACCTTTTATTGATATGGTGGTGCTGGGATTGAACCCTGGACCTCATCCATGAAAGGCCAGCTCCACCGCTGAACTCCATCCCCAGCCCTGGTATTGGTACTTTCGATGATAGTGATTATAGTTAGGCCATTGTAAACTTTCCTGCTTCTGTACTCAGGGAAAGAAAAAAACTAATCACCTTAAACCAGGTCGTAATGAACTGTTGAATATTTGTTGGAAAACTTCAGTGAAGGAAGGACACCTAAAAAAAAAAAACAGATACTAAAAAAGGCAGGGGAAGGGGTAGATTTAGGAGTTAGTGGCAACTACTATTCTTAGAGAGATGTTTAGCAACCTAAATTTTGTGTAACAATTGAAAAATAAATTTGTTTTAAGCTATTAATTTTTTTTCAGGACAGGGTTTTAGTATGTAGTTCATTGTGGTTTTGAACTCATTGTGTATCCTCGGCTGACCTGGAACCCACCAGCAGTCTTCTGCCTCAGCCTCCCAAGTGCTGGGATTACAGGAATACATCACCATGCTCTCCAAGCCATTGTTGTTTATTTTTGGTACTGGGGATCGAACTCAGGACCTTATGTTTGCTAGGCAAGCACAGCGCCACTGAGCTAAATCCCTGGCCCTAAGCCATTGTAATTTTAATCCTCAGAATTGAAGATTTCTTCCCCTCATTGTTAAGTGTGAAACATGGAAAACTGAGAACCTAGAAATTATTTTCTTTTGGACCTATATTTTGCTGTGGCAGATAAGAAAGAAGGAATTATTATTTACGTTAAACTATCACCAGTTTTCACTATGAGTGTATTGAGACTGGAAGCAGGAAGGAGTTAAAACTGAATCATGATGACACATGCTTATAATCCCAATAGTCTGGGAGGCTGAGGCAGGATTGAACCTAGCCTGGACAATTTAGCCACATCCTGCCTCAAAATATAAAAAGAGACAGGAGAGAAATACAATTACTTCTTAAGGTCACAAGAAAATTAATAGCTTGGACAGTCTCAGCATAGCATTTATTAAAAGAAAACATTTCTTAGCAGGTTACCAGTCTTGATTACCAAGTCTTAGATGTGGGCTCATTAGTTGAAATTCTTAGCTTGTAGTCATTAGGATGTTTAGAGTTTCATATCTCTGTTGTTTGATCAAAGTGATTAGGGCTTTACTTTTTTAAACATATTTTTTTTGTGTGACTATTTCAGAGATCCCGGATTCAGGTGTGGCTCTATGAGCAAGTGAATATGCGGATAGAGGGCTGTATTATTGTGAGTACCCAGGCTGTTTTTCACAGAGCTGTTTATTAATAGACTGACTTTACAGAGAATGGCCACCTAGAGCAGTGTATAAAAAGTTAAAAGACCTACCCCAAGGAAAACTTCTCAGGGCATAGTATTTAGCCTTTTTTTTCTATTCTAGGTGTTAAAGGTTGGATAATGCAAAATAAGAGTAAATAAACTTAAAAGTAGTTTAAACAAGGATTCTAATATTGGAGGGAAGGGACAAAAGAGAGGGGTGGGGGTTAATGCAGTACCAACTTTGTGTTAGTGACACCCAAATAGAACTGGTGGGGTTAGTTAAGATTTCCAGGACAGGCCGGGCGTAGGGGTGCACCCCTAATCCCAGCATATATTGGAGGGAAGGGACAAAAGAGAGGGGTGGGGGTTAATGCAGTACCAACTTTGTGTTAGTGACACCCAAATAGAACTGGTGGGGTTAGTTAAGATTTCCAGGACAGGCCGGGCGTAGGGGCGCACCCCTGTAATCCCAGCACTTGGAAGGTTGAGGCAGGAGGATCGCTGTGAGTTTGAGACCAGCCTGGGCTACATAGTGAGTTCCAGGTCAGTCTCACTACATAGTGAGACCCTGTCTCACAAAAACAAAAAAAAAAAAAAATTTCCAGGACAGCAAGATGTCCTAAGTAGTGTTTTTGTTTTTGTTTTTTGTTTGTTTGTTTGTTTGTTTTTTTGGTGGTGATGAGTATCAAATCCAGGGCCTTATTCATGCTGAGCATTTGCCCTACAAATGAGCTACATTCCCAACCCTAGTAATGTTTTAAAGAAAAATAAAATATGGGAAGCATTATGTTAGGATACTTTGGTATTCTGCGTAGAAATCAGTGGTTCTATTACTCTCCCTTTCCTTAATTACCTGTTGGCAAACATAGTAGTTTGTAGAGAACATGGGGAGAGCAGTGGCAATAGAAGATAATTCATATACATACATAAAATAGCGTATATTGGATAGGTTATAAAAGAGAGAGGATGGCTTGCTGCTGTATCCAGTGAATACTAAGTCCAAAAGGTTTAAGTAATTTGTACTACATACTGACTTTCTTGGTTATTTTTTTCTTATTGTAAAAGAGGCTTCAGGTGTTTCAGCTGGAAGATCACCAGAGGGATGGCTACATCATCTTTTCAAATGGTCTAGGGCAGTGGTTCCGCCGCCTGCCTTGCATGCACAAGGTCCCAAGTTCGATCCCCAGTACCAAAAAAAAAAAAAAAAAAAAAAAAAACGTAGCATGGTCTAGATATGATTTTACTTGAAAATAATTTTCAGTTGACTTATTTTTCTAGGGCTTTGATGAATACATGAATCTTGTGTTAGATGATGCAGAAGAAATTCATTCTAAAACAAAGTCAAGAAAACAACTGGGTAAGAAATACAGTGATCTTGCAGAATTTAGAAGTGTTCATTTTACTCAGTATGGAATGAATTGCAACTCAATTCATGTTTAAATTTATTAACATTTGAGGAGTTATTTCTGGAGCGAGAGATACACTTTTAAGTTATTCTCTGCCACTTACTCCTTACCCTACTCTGTTTCTGCTTCTGTTTCTATTCTTTTCACCAGGGTCATCAAAGATTAATGGTGTTAAATATAATGCTCAGTGTTAGTGTTCATTTTATTTCACTCTAAACAGAATTTGGCACTGTTGGCCACTCCTTTAAAACACTTTATTTCCTTGGCTCTGGCAAATAGTACTGTGCTACCTTAGTGCACGGTTCTGGTTGCAAACTGAAATGTACAAGGACCAAATCAAATTCTGTGGTTAGGTTTAATGTTGACCTTATGGGGAAATTTGATTTGGTTCTTATCCACTTTACTTTGCAACCAGAATTGTGGAAAGAATTAAGTTAGTGAACCAAGGTATCGCTGTACTCAGGTTTTCATTTCTCATCTCTCCTATTCTTTCAGACTTTTTGAGGCCCAGTCATTAAATGTTACAGTGCTTGAGGCTTGGTTCTATGCCTGCTTGTCACTCTGGTTTTTCTTAGGCACTCAAAAAAACAGCCTCAGTTACCATCTCTATATCTACCCCCAAATTTATGACTGTAGCTCATAAATTAGTAGTAAATTAATTTAGTACCCCTGCAAGAGTGTCTCAGAGGCTCCTCAAAGTCAGCACATCCAGAATCAAACTGAAGTTAACCACGCACACACTGCTTACAACTATTCAGTCCTCTCTGCATTTCAATGGCTCCAGTTTGCTTTCAGATAATTAATTGTTTTTGCAACTACCTCAGCCCCCTCCAGGTTGTTCTCCAAAGTTTAGTCATTTTAAAATGCCTATCTGACCTTGTCATCCCTTTCTAGAAATGTTTCATTGACTTTTTTCTTGCTCTTAGAAAAAAACTCTCTCATGTATTCTACAAAGTCCTTTGCAATCTGGCCTTATTTCCCCTCCACACATTTCTATCACACTCTGACTCATTTTCTGAACTTTAGCCACTCTTGTCCTCTTTTGCTTCTTTGAATTTGCAGTTTTCACACTACCAGTTCATGTATATGCTGCTCCCTTTGTCTTTAGAACTCACTTCACAGCTGGGCGTGGTGCCATATATCTGTAATCCTAACTACTTGGTTGGTAAGGAAAACATGGCTAGGAAGGGTGAATAATTTACCCATCTACTATCAGAGCTAGATGATCTCTGATTGCAGAGTTTGTGTTCTCATTGTTTCTGATTAGATACAGCTTCAATTTCATTTAATTGTGTAAATGAACTATTTTATAAGCAGAACTATTCCTTGTAGTGCATTATTTTGCATTTAATCCTGTGTGAAATAAAGTTCACTTGAAGGTGACCAAAAAAATCCTAGCTACTTGGGAGACAGGAAGAAGAAATGTGAGTTTGAGGCCAGGGCTTATTTTGGTGTTGCTTAGGGTGGGAGAAAATGGCACAATATGTATGATCCAAGACTTGGTTGTGAAACATTCAGAAGTGTAATTATTTTACGAATGCTTTCCTATTAGACCAGATATTCCATAAGTGCATTAGCCATGCTTTTTCATTTTTTGTACCAGGGTTTGAACTTGGATCCTTACACTTTGCAAGGCAGGCAGGGAAACCACTGAACTAAATCCCAGCCCGTTTTTTTATTTTTGGTTGGTTGGTTGGGATTGAATGAACTCAGGGCTTTCATAATGGGCTATATCCCTAGCCATTTTTTTTTTTTTTTTTAATTTAGAGACAGAGTCTCACTAAATCACTAAACTGCCCAGGCTGGTCTTGGATTTTCATTCCTGCCTCAGCCTCTCAGACTGCTGGGATTATAGGTGTACACTACCCCAACAACCATGGATCATACCTTTTTTTTGATCCCTAATATTCTCAATAATTAACTTGGTATCTGGTATGTAGTAGAAAGTCAACATTTGAAACACATAGGCACGTGCACACACATACCCCCTCACACACCCACGTACATTGGGGATTGATTGAATCCAGGGGCCCATGCATGCTAGGCAGTTGCTGTATTCCTAAGCTATATCTCCAGCTGTTATGTTTTAAATTTTGGGATCAGGTCTGCTGAGTTGCCCAGATTGGCCTCAAACTTTTGATACTCCCACCTCTGCCTCTAAGTAGCAGGAATTGCATGCATCCCTACCCCTGGCTGAAAATTTATTTTAACCTATTGAACAAGAGGGCTGTAAGACTCATGATTTCATCACAAATCATGAATCATTTCTCCTAAGATCCCATTAACTTGATTTTTATTGAGACAATTTGTCTTTTTTTTTTCTTCTTTCTTTCAGTTTGTCTTTATTTGTTAAAAGACTTAATACATAGCTCACTGGTACTTTTATCAAAGTTAGGTTTTAGGTGACCTTTCTTTTTCACAAACCCTGATGAGTCTCTTGAACTTATGTTAGATATGTGGAAAATAGATTTTGAAAAGTGATACGATATATTTCTGCTTAGGCTAAAGTATTTGACAACTGTTAAATCGGTGTTCATCTTGTATAACAGACTAATAAAACCTGTAAAAGTCTGGGAGATGAAATAGTTTAATTATTTTCGCAGGTGATTAGCAACTATCAGTCAACACTAGTGTTTTGAAGATATTTATAGATATTTGTCAGAAAAGTATTCTCAAATTTAGGAAATGTTGGATAAAACTTGAACAGATTTGTTTACTGCAAAATGGAGTCTTTTAGGGCCAGGCACTTAGCTCAGTGGCACTGTGCCTGCCTCATAAGCAGAAGGTCCTGCGTTCGCTCCCTGGTATGGGGGTGGGGTGGGTGGAGGTGGAGTCTTTAGTACATTGACTATGCTAAGTAGTTTATAAGATGCTGCATTTTCCAAACTTGACATATAATTCATTTCTAAATTTTCATGAACTCAGCATTAGAAAGTGTTGTGATAAACATGATCAGTTGACTTAATCTATAGAAGCTACTTTTCATAAAATAGCACCTACCTGCATTAGGTTATTGAAAAGGTGCACATATGCTAATGGAGCTGGAAAGCCTTTCAACATATGGCACTTGAAATGTTCACATAACTTCACGAATGAAGGAATTTTGAAAACACTGAATTGGGAATAGATTTCTGATGTGTATACACTTGAGTGTGAATACTGATGCCTTTTGTTGTTGCAGGTCGGATCATGCTAAAAGGAGATAATATTACTCTGCTACAAAGTGTCTCCAACTAGAAATGATGAGTGAATTAAGAAGACAGCAGTGAAGTGAGGTGGCAATTGTGATAACGTGTGAAAAATGCAGCTGTTTAAGTGGTTTGCCCTGGGATTATTTGTAAAACATTTTTTCATATTGTTTTCGTTACCCTTATGTTATTACTGCTCTGGCAATAAATGTTGTAGGATTGTTTTTATTAAAAAATGACAATGTTTCTTTCTGTTCGGTGGTAAAGACCTGTTAGTGGCATATTAGTATAGGTATTTTAAAGCTTCTAAAGTTAGTGATTGCTTTGGGCTTTTGCTTTCTTGGAGCATAGACTTACACATATCCTTGAGGCAGAGACTAGGAACTCTTGACAGGTAAGCTTCCACTATTGGGTAGCAGAAAAAGGGGGAGGTTTTCACAAAAATAAGGCCATTACACTAATGTATGTCTTCATTAATTCTAACTCTTGAAACTGGGGTTATAGCTTAGTTGTACAGCATTTGTCTAACAAGCACAAGGCCCTAGGTTCAGTCCTAGCACAGCAAGAAAAAAGAATTCTAATTCTGAGTGCTAGAACACCACAGAGTTTCTAACTAAAGTAGATTGAGAACATTTTAATAGCTCCATTATTTGCTTGGCACTCTTATTGAGACACTATGAGATCTTTGATTATTTTATCATTAAGCTCAGAGTGTGATGAGTATTTGGGTGTAGACAAAGAATAAAGTACCTTAAAGTACATTAAAAGTAAGCTTTATTAAGACTTGGAAGGAAAATTTGTGAAATTGTTAGTCTGAAAAAGACCAGAAGCAGAGTTGGAAAATTGTCAGAATACTGGCATATCGAAGAAACTTTTATTTCTTATTCTGTTTATTGTTTTTGCCAATGCTGAGGATCAAATTCAGGGACCTCCCTCAGGCTAGGCAAGTGCTCTACCACTGACCTATACACAGCCCACATGGGGTGTGTGTGTGTGTGTCTGTGTGTGTTTGCTGGCGATTAAACCCAGGAGTGCTGAGCTATGTCCTTGTCCTTTAAAAACATGTTTATTTGAAGGAACGTCTCACTGACTTGACAAGGCTGGTCTTAACTTGGGATCCTTCTCAGCCTTCTGAGTAGCTGGAATTACTCGTGTTTACTGCTTATGCTGCTCAGTCTCTTATGTCTAAGGATTTGGATTCCTCCTTGTGATTGAATGTTACTTGATTCTTAGGCAAACATCCCCTCCAAGTAGCTCAGGGTGGAAGAATTCTTTTAAGTGGTTTTTGAGCATCTACTGTTGCCTAGGCACAAAATTGTGTAAAATACAGTGAAACGGGTAATCAGATTTAGTGTCATGTCCTAAGTGCCATTTGAATTGGATCTTAAAAGATTATTAGGCCTATTATTTTTTAATTTTTTAATTGTTTTTATGGTGTTAGGATGGAATCCAGGACTTTGCATCTTAATAGACAAGAACTCTACTACTGAACTACGCTTCAGCCCCAAGTCCTGTCTTAAATTCTGTTAAAGGCAGTTTTAAGAATGGGTGAGGGAAACCATGAAGTCTAGCTCCTTTTTTCCATGTCTACAGGGATAATAGATATCTATTTCATTAAACTGAATGAGAAATCCTTTCTGCAATGGAGGAGATTTGTAGATGAATGTAGAAGTCAATTCAGCTTAGAATCTTGCATTCTGGCTATGGTTTCTACTTCTGATATTATGCTGTTTGGTTATATTATGAATACAAGGCTTTAGCTCTTTTACCATTTTTTAGTTTGAAATTCATTAAACCAACTATAGGATGCAAAGAAAATACTGGGCAGTAGAGGGAGTTGCTGCCCTGAGAATGCTTCAGCCCTGCTGGTGAAAAAGATTGAAGCTTTTTCAGAGCAGGGCAAAGACTTCCCTGCAGCTTTCTTGGCACCAGAATAGATGGGAAGAAGGATAAAAGCTGGAGCAGTATAATCCGTAAGAAAACCTGCTGGCTGCTTTTCCATCTCCCTGAGTGGCCTTTCTGACCTGGCTGCTCTGTGTAAGCAGAGCTGTGCCTGCTGTGGCTTATTCTGAATGGATCAAGACATGGAAGGTTCTATTTTTGACAGAGCAGATGATAGTGAGAAATAAGGTACAGTCAGCTCTTACAATTGAGCTCTGTATTTAGAAATCCCTGCTTGCTTTCCTGTTCTGGAGCCTGTGGTGTTTGCTTTTTAAGTTGTACTTTTCCACAATCTGTGGATCCTTTCTTCCAACCAGAATTTTTATTGCAGGGGGCGTTGCTCTCTGCTTCATTAAAGTTACTAAAACATGCTACTGGGAAGCTGTTCTTGTTGGCAGCCCTTGGTATGTGAACAATGATTTTTCTAGAATAGCTCCTGGTATCCGAGGGGGTCTTGCTAACCACCCACTGATTCTCTTGTAACATTCTTAAAGAGAATGGTGGGCGGAATAGAGAATGAGGTTCTGAAAAAAAAAAAGTAAGTCCTGCAATGGGCCTGATGTTCTATTAGTAGCAAGTCAGGAGAAGGAAAAGTTTTAAAATCTTAGAAATTAGTGCTTTTGGGTGCCAACTTGTCACACTTGTCAGCAGTTCTAGGATTAGGGAGAGAATCTCTGTCTAATTTGGATTAAGGTTTTATGGGCCATGAAGTATCAGGCAGTTCCTGAAGCAAGCCTAAGAGCCACTCGTGTTACCTGGGTGGCACAGGAACATTTCTGAACTAATATTTCATTCACAGCCATAACCAGCTATATGTTTTGAAAAAATGCTTGGTAAAACTTTTTTTAAGGCAGCATAAGAACCTAAGTTTTATTACCTGTAGTTTTAATTTTAACCTACAGATTACAGTGGAATTTTAAAAAGTTAAATGTAGGCAGTATAGGACATAAAGTAGAAAACAAAAATCCTTCCTTTTCCACTCATAATCTCCATAGACAACAGCTCTTAAAAGTTAAATGCTTACCTTCTAAACTGCATAAAATAGGTATGGCTTGGTTTTGTTTCTCTTGATACTGTACTTTTTAAAGAATTATTTTTAGTTTTAATTGTAAAGTACTCAAAGTAGAGTATTTACAGTTAGCCATTTTTAAGTGTGTAGTTCTTTTTCTTAACAGGACGGAAACTCCATACTTTTAAAAAACTACACCCCATTTCACTTTTCGTCTCTCTGATTTTACTACTTTTAAGTACTGAATATAAATGAACTCGTGCCGTATTTTTCCTTTTGTTTTTTGTTTTGTTTTTGAGAACTTATATTTCACTTTTTTTTTTTTTTTTTTTTTTTT